GAAGGAGAAAAGAGGTGACTGGCATAAGCAATGACGCGATCTTGTCCTCGTTGCCGCCGGGTGAGAACAGCACCAATTCCACGTCCACTGGCATCGGTACAAACTTCAGTATGGGCTGACGGGTCGAAATGGGCCAAGATGGGTGGGGAAGTAAGTAACATTGTAAGGGTGCTGAAGGCAGTTGCTTGGTCAGTACCCCAATAAATAGGCATGTCCTTTTTCAGTAGCTCCGTATATGGTCGGGCAATGTCAGCAAAATTCTTCACGAAACGACGAAAGTAAGAACAAAGGCCGATAAAACTCTGTACATCTTTTGCGAAACGTGGTATGGAAAAATCTTTGACAACTCGAATTTTGTCAGAATCAGGTTGCATGCCTCGAGCACTGACAAGGTGGCCGAGCACAGTGATTTCCCGACAGCCAAAGCGACATTAGGAAGAGTTGAGCTGAAGTCCTGCTTTCCGGAAAACCTCAAGAGCAGCCGTTAGGCGGCTAAGGTGGCTTTCGAATGTAGGTGAAAATACAATGACGTCATCGAGATAGCACAGGCACGTGGTCCATTTGTATCCACGCAAGAGAGAGTCCATCATTCTTTCAAATGTGGCTGGTGCATTACACAATCCGAATGACATAACCTTGAACTGGAAAAGTCCATTCGGTGTGATGAATGCGGTTTTCTCACGGTCTTGATGATCGACAGAAATGTGCCAGTATCCTGATCGCAAGTCGATAGATGAAAAGTAGGCAGACCCATGCAGGCAGTCGAGAGCATTGTCAATACGCGGCAGTGGATATACGTCCTTACGTGTTTTTTTGTTTAAGTGACGGTAGTCTACGCAGAAGCGCCAGCTGCCATCCTTCTTCTTGACTAGCACAACCGGCGATGCCCATGGTCTGCAAGAAGGTTCGATGACGTCTTTTGTGAGCATTTCTTCAACTTCGTGCTGGATAACTTGTCGCTCAGCATTAGACACGCTATAAGGACGTCATCGGATGGGGCTGGCGTCTCCAGTGTTAATCCTATGAGTTACAAAGGATGTCTGATGCAAAAGGCGGTCATCAAAATCAAAGATGTCGCGTTAGGATTTCAGCAGGTGCCGGATGTCAGCTGTCTGCGCTGGAAGAAGGTCCGGAGCGATCATCTTGTCGATGGTGGCATCCGCTGCGCTCTTCGAGGATGAAAACAGAGCAGAGGACGAAGAAGATTCGGCAAGGAACACCGAAATGGCAGCATCTATAGAAAAAACTTTTGTCAAAGTCATACCATCTGGGATAACTTGAGCGCACTAGCTGAAGTTTAGGATGAGGCACGGCAACATTTTCGGCCAGCAGAACGTCAGCAATAGGTGTCAACATGTAGTCACCATCGGGAACAGGAGGGACAGATCTCAGGTTCACGTAAGTAACGGCTTGAGGTGCTAGGCGAACGTGATCTGCAGAACACAGACGGGGTTGAGCTGGTGTTGGGTCGTCATGATAACACGGTAAATCAAGTTGAAGCATGCCGGTTCCACAATCAATAAGGGCAGAGTGGGCGGATAAAAAGTCCATGCCGAGGATAAGTTCATGGGAACATTTCTCGAGCACAGCAAATAGCACTGTCGTGGAGCGATCAGCCACACTTATACGCGCGGAACACATTCCAGGCACGGGAAACGTGTCGCCGTCGGCGACCTGGATGAGTGGCACTGTGGGTGGCGTTAAAACTTTCCTAAGGCGGCAATGAAGTTCTGAATTCATCACTGATATGTGAGCCCCTGTGTCCACCAGTGCAACAACGGGTGTGTCATCTACTTCAATGTCAATAAGGTTGCGTCGAGTCGGCAGCATGGTCAGAGGATTTGGCGGGCAGGTGGTCAATGCAGCACACTTTTGCTGTTCCTTTCAAGTAGAACAGGATATTGGCTAACATAGAAGTTTCATCCCAGCGGTAATTCTTACTTGTGCCTTCCTACAACGGCAACCATTCTTCGATGTCGACATCATCCGTGCCACAGAACGTGCCAGGATCTTTTAGCTGCGGAAGAACAACAGTTGTTGTTGTAGTCGCCTCGGCGGGAGCCGGTCCCTGGTTTGCCATGGTGGAAAAATCCAAGCGTCGGCCACTGCGGAGCTCCGTGATATCGTGTTGTACCCCGCACCTCCACCAAATGTTATGGGGTGAGAGAATGAATGAAATAAATATATTTACAAAATATACAGGGAGAGTCAGAGGCAGCTGCAGCCAAGATGGAAGAACAGCATGAACAACAACACGAGCACGGTCGCTTTCATCGTCTATGATGCTCTTTCGTTGCCGATGTCGCGTAACAAAAGTGCCCCAGCAAGTTGGCTTTCCCTCGCAGTGGCGGGAAAAACTGCCGGCGCCACCCTAGAAAAAGTTGGTTAGACCCAGTTGTGCGCGGGCGAACACCCCCCTCCAAGAAATGATCCTGGGCCGCTCGCAGCGCTTACAGTTAATCAGAGGCCGTCGTGCTTTCTCCGAGGCGCGGAGGCGGTAGAAGTAAGCCCCATTTTTTCTTTCTTTATGCTTGTGTGCCTGCTGCTGCCGATTCAGTGTGGTCTGTGGTGTTGCCTGTTGGTGCTCTGTGAACTGTATTGGCGCGCTGTCATCACGGCTTGCGCAAAGAGGCAAAGTTTGCCGCTCGCTGCGAAACTTGAAATCATCAATTGGGTTGAGCGCGGTGAAAAGAAGTCTGACATCGCCGCCGTGTACAAAATTCCAAGGAGAACTTTGAGTACTATCCTGAAGAACAAGGCAGACATCAGGGCAAGTCGGACAAAAAGCCAGGTGCCCGTGGCGCCCGACATGCCCACGCTGCTGTGTACGAAGATGTTGAGCGGCCGTTTACAAGTGGTTTGTGGACCTCCGGTCGAGAAACACCCCAATGTCCGGCCCTATGATCGAGCAGAAAGACAAGGACCTCGCAGCAAGATATAGAGCCCAAGATATCTTCGATGTGGATGAAACCCCTCTATTTTGACAAAAGTTGCCAAAAAAGACACTCGCGTATCGTGGCGACAAGATAAGCGGCGGCAAGGCAAACAAAGCTCGTGTGTCCGTGCTGTTGGCAGCTAATTTAGACGGGTCGAAAAAGCTTCAACCTCTGGTTATCGGGAAAAGCACGGCACCGCGGTGTTTTCGAAATGCGCTGTCGCTACCAGTTACCTACCGAGCAAACTTAAAAGCGTGTATGACCGGGGAGCTTTTCAGCAGATGGCTATTGTTGTGGAATGATGATTTGGTAGGCGAAAATCGCAAGGTGTGCCTGCTCGTGGACAATTGTTTATCGCATCACTGCAGTACGACCTCCAGCAACATCGAGCTGCGTTTTTTGCCCCCAAACGTCTCTGTACTGCGACCACTGGATCAAGGCGTTATACGCGCAATGAAAGCCGGCTATTGGAAGCGCCTGGTGGAAAGGCTTCTGCAGAACCTTCGTGTCGACAGGGAGCTTAAGACTGACTTGCTCGAAGCTATTTCTATGTTGAGTAGACCGTGGGCAGATGTCAGGAAGGAGACAATCTAGAACTGCTTTAGGCATGCCGGCTTCCGCATGCCTGGTGATGACACCCCAAATTCGGACAGCACTGAAAACACTGCAGGTGTTTCCGCCGAAGTTTGGAATGAGCTGGCAGAGTTCCCAGGTGCTATCGACGGATCGACATTCGACGAGTTCGTCAGTGCGGACGATGATGTCCCCATCATGGGCCAATTACAGGATGAGGATTACATTGCAGACGTCCTGCCGACCCCGAGCCAAAGCGACAGCAATATGGAAATCGACGACGGCCCATTGCCTACATCCTTCGAAGTGATTAGTGCATTTGCGTTGGTCTGGCGCTATTGCTTGAATGTGGAAGGTTGCGGCCTCAGCTGCTCCGACTCGTTGGACAACGTGGAGGCGTGCGTGCTGTCGCAGGCAGCGAAGTCGTTCACACAGAAAAAAATCCGGGACAATTTTGTTCCACAGCAAAGAAGCAAAGAAGTCATCATATTAACAAAGTACTTTTATTCTAGTTTGTTATGTGCCTATGTGTCAAAACCTATACCAGGCTTAATCAAATTATGCCATACATCGAACTAATAAATGTTTTCTGGCGAGTTTGATATACATGGGTTCGACTGTATTGTGTGAAACTCTATGACACGCTCCAAGCCAAGGAACTGGACAAGTCCAAGAGAATCATCAATATGCTCTCAGGCCCAGGAGGACAGCTATCGCAGATACGAGAGCTGTCACTGGCAGAATTTGCAGACGGTTCCCATGTGCTAATGGGGATTGAGCAAGCCAACATGAAAAATGTGTATAAACACATAGAAGACATGCTGAGGCATTGCAAGCCCTTTCAGACAACGCCACAACTATTAAGGGACACCGGCTTCATGGCCCATCGATGCCCTCGAGCCGAAAAATTCCCTTCTTGTCGTAGGAAAGATTTTGGGTGCACGTGCTGCACTTTGCTCCCCATCACATTCTGTGTGCCGGCGTCCAACACCACCACATTTCGACGTCATTGAGTGCAGTGGTTACAACAATGCACATCGCTGGCCAACAACGTCATTGAACCACTGACATGTCATGACGACAGATTATACCATAGTTGTGAAGCAGTTCACATCAGCCACTTAAACCCCAACAACGATCCCTTTGTGCTTTCTTCACCTGGAGTTGCCAGATTGGCTCCTCTTCAGCCCTGGGCAAGTGTAGTGGGGAAGAGAGACAGTACGAAGTAGGAGCAGGTATATGACGATAACTACGAAGAGCTGAGCGTGTGCACCCCTCAAATTAGGCAGTTGGTTTCGGTCAATAAACCCCCTTATAATTGGAAGAAATCAACTGTGGTTGAAGAGGGCCAGCGGATGGGCCTTAGGGGGGAGAGGTGCACATTTATATGGCAGCGCATGCTGTAGTGTCTTGCGTGGCAAGATATGGGCAGCCACCTTGATATGAGAGCCGGCTGAATTGTTATCACTAGCAGAATACAAAAGGAGAGACCTTTTTGGAGTTCCAAAGAGCATGGTGGTTGGCCAGGTGCATGAACTTGTACATCAGGTCTGGCTGGTTCAGGTCAGTCGCCACAGAACACAGCTCACGATACGTGGTCAGGCTGCCTCTGCAAAAAGCAGCAAAGTGTCACTTCACGTCCAACTGTACTTGACCGAAGCTTCACCTGAACGTGCAACCACGGAGACATGAAGGATGTGATGATATTCCTTCCCGCGTATGCACACCCTATCTTTGTAGATCTTATTCTAATTACTGAAGCAGTCACTGTACATGATAACTCTTGCTATTGCCTTTTCAAACTTGGTGAAATTGGACTAGCTGGTGTTGTTCAAACTGCACAAGCTCTTGGTTGTCCCCAAGCAGCGAACCTGCTCCATGATGTCGCAACCTATCGTGGTGGGCAAGCTCTACGCTCAATCATTATTCCGAGCAGTTGCAAAAAACAAATTCAGAATACGGTAAAAGCAAGTTTAAAAGACATTTTGGCTTCCCCACAGAAGATTTCTTATACTGGCAGCAAATGCCCCTTTTCCACCACTTTCACCTAGGCATGCGCAAGTAGTGAATTTTAAGTTCTAAGCGAATAGTGGTATGGTCGAATCCTTTTGAATTCAATTTTAATAACATATATCACATGCTATAAAAAAATGATCCTACTCGTGACGACCAAACTAACCTGCTGTGTAAATGTCATTTTTTTTTATTCAAAGAGAAGTGAAAGCAACACTGAACAGTAGCAAGATTGTACTTTTGGTGGAATGCGAGTGATAACCTCAAAAACATGTTACGGTTAAAAGTTTACTATGCTTGAAGAATATAAACCGGTATACCAAGCTGTTGAACTTAAAAATGATTAATCAACATGAGGGTGACATATTCACAGTGACGCCACCGATGTCTTCCGATTTGGAGCAATTTTCAGAGCTGCGAAATTTTCATTTTGGAGCCCTTCTTAGCAGCAAAATTTTCTATCTTAAAGCACTTTGGAGGAGCGAAATTTCCACTTTGGCGCAATCTGAATCAGCTAACTTCGAATTCTGGAGGATAAGCACGTTGCATTTACATTCAAGGACATGAAAAAATTATGAGGCTCTTGTGAAGAGCTAGAAATATTTAAATTCACTACATTATTTTCATGGAGCCAATCATCCTAGAAGCACTATCTATTTCAGTTGATGATGCAAAAATAATGACATCATGCTGTCAAGCAATCTGGAAAAACTTGTTCAATGATTATTTCTGTAGCAAATCAACAGAATACAGGTTGAATAAAATTGTACTTCATGAAACAGCAATAAGCACACCTAGGTGGTTATCAGCAGATATGGTAGACAAACGCTGTGACGTACAACGCTAGAGACTCACACAGTTCCAAGTGCCTTTTCCCAAGATGACTTCAAGAATAAAAAAAAAATTTCATGACTGACTAGACTGCTGGGCGTAATACAACGTCATTCAGCTAGTCTCAGAAAGCTAACCTCCCTCTCCACTCATCTCTGTGCTGAAACTACACGATTTAACATACTTCATTTTCCTTTTGCAGCAATATTTTATGTCACTAGACTGATGTTATGTCACTAGACTGATGTTATGTTATGACTTGTGACTTCAAAGGTGTCACTGCTGATGCACGAGCTATTTACAGCTGGTATACCCTTCTACCTTGTACTCTCCACGCGAACAGACTGTGCGAAAAACGCTTCGCTTTCCAGAGTGGCCATATAAGGGTATGCACAGAGCCTTTATTGCAAGGCAGTCACACAATCGTGCGTACTGTACAGATAGAATCACACTGGTCTAGAGCAGCGGAGCATGTGACTGTCGACACTTGTTGGCCGCGGCTTCTATCTCATGCCAGTTACAAGGTTCCGTTAATGCTTATATTACAGCCCAAGGGCCTAATAACCAGTAGACCATGTTTGGTAGAATTACTGCATCTCTCTTTACATAATTCTAAAGAAAATACCAGCTGGAGTGGCCGGCTGGGCACTATAGACAAGTTTGATTCCATCTGTACGTGTATCAGCGTGCAAGAAATGTTGCGGGGGTCTCTAGTCACCCAAGTCGCGGATATAGAACACCGATCGTGCAGCAAGTTTTTGCGAGTGCGCAGACCTTGAAAAAGGCAACCCCGCCACTAGGGCTTCTCACGGATGACGTCACACCTTATTATTTGGTATAACAATACAATTTGTTGGTATCGCATTCACTCCTAAGAGCACAAATGAAACTAACAAATTGTATCTTATTTTAGATACAATATCGCATAGCTCAAAAGAACGCTGGATAAAGGGGCAATGATTACTCTAATTGCAGAAGCTTTCATGCTGTCAGTTATCTAAGTGCAAAGCACATGTTAGTAGCACAGAAAGTTAACGAGCAGTCTTATTATGCCTCAAGATAGCACACGCCAGCTACTTCAAGCGACACAGCAGTCTCCCTCTACCCCTTCCTTCAAAACAAAGCAAGAAAGACGATGCCGTGATGCTCACTTTTTTTTTAACCATCAGCTACTGACCCTGGAAAGCGAGTGGCGGACGTGCAACAAGGTGTAGCCACTCCACAGGCCTTCCTACGCGAGAGCCACCAGCGATGGCCTCACTATAGCTGCGTGTATCAAAACTGAATTGCAGCTGCTACGACCAGGAGGCATGCTTTTATAAATCACATGACATTTAAAAACCAAAAGCACCCAAGAATTTCATATTCAGGCCCTAGAAACGTGCAGTTGAAAAGCGAAGGGTCTATAGAGGATTCTGCCACCACAGTGATTAAAATGCGGGTGTGGTGGTGGAAGGAATTACAAAACAGCTCTAAAGTATATTAGAGGAAAAGTGTCAACATATTCCCACCATTTATATGTTCTGTGGATGTGAAGCATGGAAATTTAAATCGTGGTGTTGAAACATAGACGTCACAGACATTCTGGTGACACGCATGTCGTTATTGGTGAAAATTGCTTCATTACATGCTGTGCAACTATATTGCCGCGTGCATAGCTGAACCCGTTCGGCTGGTAGGATACTTCTGGAGCCAATGGACGATGCACAGCGTCTGCATAGGTACATGAGTTTGGACGGTGCGGTGGAGCGGAATATTGCTGAGGAGAGGCAAACGCTTGTCGAAGTTCATGGCGAACGACTTCAGCGACGGAGGCTACCGTGGACTACTGCTGCGGTGGTGCCTGTGACTGCAATGTGTATTTTGCGTTCTCCTTCACAATCTCCTCACGCACAATCTGTCTAATCAGGTGGCGTAGAGAAAACTCGTCGTTTGCGGTAAGTGCGGCGGCGCCTGCAGGTGCGCCGGTGCCCGGGCGATCAGACTGTTGGTACCGTTGCTGCAGTGCACGCTCTATTGCGGTGGCCTTCCTGGTGAACTCGTCCACTGTTGTCGGCGGATTGCGCACAAGACCAACAAATAGCTGCTCTTTGACGCTCCTCATGAGATGGCTTAGGTTTCGAGCCTCGGGCATGTTGGGGTCCGCGTGGTGGCACAGACGCACCATATCCTCAGCAAACATGGCGGCGCTTTCATGCAGCTGTTGGGTGCGTCCTTCAAGAAGGCGTTGTGCGTTTTCGCGTCGGTCCGTGTTACCGAAGGTGTCAAGAAACCGGCAACAAAACTCCTCCCATGTCGTCAATGTTGCCTCCCGGTTTATAAACCACGTGTTCGTGCCGTCTTCAAGGGGGAAGTATACGTAGAAGAGCTTTCCATCGAGACTCCAGTAGTTCAATTTAGTTACCCGTTCAAACTGCTCAAGCCAGTCTTGCGCATCTTCGTTCGGCCGGCTACGAAATGGTTCAGGAATGCGCATATTCTGGACCGTCACCTGTGCAGGACTCCTTGCCATTTCTTGAGTAGGGGTGACTGTCAGAAGTGTTGCTCCCTTTAAAAGGCCAAATTCTGGTTCAAGACCTCGAAAGCGACGGCTTGAGCGGTGCACAGGCGTCTCCACGCGTGGCTGTCTCGTAGGTCTGGACTCGGGGCTTCTCACAGGGGTTCTGATAATGAGGTGGTAGTACCCCGCACCTCCACCAGTGTTGCGGGTTATAAATTACAGGGGGTTTATTTAAAAACACGGACAGTGGAACTTGTAGAGACGCTCTCAGAGAAGGCCGCTAAGATTGTCGTCTTCTTCACTCGCCTGCGCTGCGCCTCTCAAGCAAATCCACGTTCTTCGTTGTCGTCGCTATTTCGCCGCTAAATGCAGCTATGCACGCGGCAATATAAACGATCAGCAGCGTTCCTGGAACAGACAACATGCGCCGATGCATTGTCGTCATGCTTTCACGCTACCGATTAGACTTAACGTCATGAGCCCCTACGGAAAGAGCGTTTTGCCGTTGAGCGGACTTGCACAACAGAGTTGTCTTAGCACTGAACATTGCCTCGTGGATTTTAGGACACACGCGCGACCGCAGTTTATTCAGCACAATAAAATTGGTACATTATTGTGACTTTGGTGGCCCCGAAAACAAGGTGCACATGTATTGCGCAGTTGGTGAAGGAGTTGGATCCCTGTGTTTATTTAATCTTGTAGTGGGGCTTCATGGCAGTGGAGATTTCTCTAGGACAGATGTTTTCACGATATAGCAACCTCCACTGCAGTGAAACCCACTTTACAAAAAATTATATGTGGTTATGTTTATTTGTTAATTTTTAATATCTTAAAATTTCGTATAATTATTTGAAATTCGAAAGTGTGGAGAGCTGGGCTTGTTGATTGTACATAGTGAGAAAACAGGGCTAAAAAGACAAGGGACTCGCAGACAGGGAACACACGCAGCGCTGACTTCACGATTTTTCATTGTGAAAACAATGCACCGCCTATAAATACACAGGATAATCACTCCCATAAAACCATATGACCGGTTATTGCACAGACAGGCTACGTACAACACAACTATCTGGTCACATGGTATTGCCACATTCCCTTCTTACGCTTTGTTATCGCACTGTTTCGCTGTCAGTAATTTTCAGCACAAGCCGCCCCTACACAGTTCGAGAAGCTTCCGGACTGCAATAAATCATTTTGTTAAGATTACGCCCATTTCGTGAACATTACAGATTGCTCTGGAACTCACATCCCCGCTAGCGATAACG